ATGTCAAGTCCACATTTTATTATATTTTTAAAATTTTCGATTGACTGATTGATTGATTCGTTTTCTATGCTTTATAAACCCTTTGCAGGTTATTTAAAGCCAGGAAATATTTTTAGATTTTTTTTAGATAATAATGATTGAGTGATACGAATCTTACTAATTAATTCTTATCTGGGAGGAAAGAATAGGTAGATTCGTATCTTTCACAAGCGTAATTTACCGTACGTGAATATTATGAAACCATCTAGAATTGGAACTAGTCTCTCCGAATAACAATTCCGAGCGATTATCCATTACACCACCTGCACATCCATGGTTACAGCACCTGGTACTTCCAAGGGGTCAACCGTTGTGCCCGACTTTGTTCAACTTCGGTGATCGTACGAGAACCTCTGTTTCAATGTGATATGACCGTAAGCCCAAATTTCGAATGAGTCTGGTGTGACGTCCCCCCCCCCGGTGTCTGCGCGCCAAACGTGACGTCCGCCTGTCTGCGTCCAGTATCTTCCTTTTTACCTTCTCGACAATGGAAAATAAAAAATTTACCACTTTCCTTGTCAGAAAAATAACACCGCTTAGTGTCCTTTTCGTGATGGCTTCTTATCACCTAATTTTAATTATCGCCTTTCTTTTCTTTTTTTTCTTTCCTTTTTCTTTTCTCCTTTCTCCCTTTTAGCAAGCCAAATAGTGTCACACTGGTACATCGGGACTGAAGTTGTGAATATGAAAGAATGTTTTAATTTTATTCGGTTCGCGACAACAATCAGGGTAACTAACACAATAAGAATCAGACGTGTTCTTTTATTCAAATCTTCAATCCCGATGGCAGCACATCATTCGGAAATTGGAACGATATAATAAAAAGAAGTTTAATAGAAAGACCTTATCGGTGGAATTTAACAAAATTTGTGTGTATATATATATATATATATATATATATATATATATATCAAATATCTGGTGCAGTTCATGCAACGTTGACTGATAAACTACAAAAGAAAATTTCTCAAATTGCCATATTAGTAAAAAATCACACTAACTTAAATTTTAAAAAAAATCAAGCTTAGCGTTGCGACTGCGCGCTCCAAGAGTTCGTATCCGTTATCAATAACACATTTAAATAAAAAAAAACATATTTCGATTCGCATCATATTTTTTCGTCTCGGATGCTACCTGAATTTTACCAGAAACAAAATAATTTCCATGCCTGATGATTACTGGACGTACAGTCGAAAGTACTTGCGTATTTAAAGAAGACCAAATACAGTTTATAATTTTAAAAAACAAGGATCATAACATTCATGGAGTGATTAGTAGATTAATGCATCTTTAAAATTTATTTAGCGAAGGGATTTCGCCATTTTACATCATTAACTTTACTAATTTTTGTATGAATGATTCATTGTTATATATATATATATACATATATATATATATATATTTGTGTGTGGGTGTGTGCGTTTTAGTGTGGGCGGGTGTTTGCGTGTGCGTGTGTGTATGTGTGTGGATATAATGACAAAAAGAAAACTTTTCTTAGCCGACGCGTTTCCTCCCCTGAGCGACTTTGTCAGAGGACGAATCGCGCTAGCTAAGATAAGTATACTTTTTGTTTCTTTTTTTATTGTTGATTTACATATATACTAGCAACTACCAATTATATATATATATATATATATATATATATATATATATATATATATAATTGCTAATTGCGATTTTTTGTAAATGCGCATGAGAGTCTGTTATACTGATAAACACTATGAATGCGCTTTGTTATAATCAATTTTAAAATTAACTACTAAAGATATTAGGTTATCTAACTGAAGCAACTTTAACATATACAATTGAATTTTTAAAATTACAGTTTAAGCGTTTTAAAACATTGCTGTTATAGACATACATATATATATATATATATATATAGAGAGAGAGAGAGAGAGAGAGAAAGAGAGAGAGAGAGATTCGTTTTCTGCGGTTTATCAACCGTTTGCAGGTTATTTAAAGCCAGAAAATAATTTAGATTCTAAGAATGTTGGAGGCGGGAGTAATAATTTTTAGTGGTACAAGTCTTAGTAATTAACTGATTGGGATATGAGGTTGATTCGTACCATTTATAGTTTTCGCAAGTGTTTTGTGGTGTAATGAATATCGGATCGGGATACCGAGTTCGAATTCTCCTCAGATTCGTTACATTCTCTTATGTGCAAATTTTATGTATATACCTTTATATACGATATATAGATACACACCCAAACACACACATATATATATATATATATACATTATAGCTATTATATATATATAATTTATATTATATATTTTCTTATAGCTATTATATATTTATTTATAGCTATTATATATATATAATTTATTCGAATAAATTATATATATATATATATATATATATATATATATATATATATATACATATATATATATATATATATATATATAAAAATTTATTCGAATAGATTATATTTGTCCTACTCTGTATTGAGCACTCATATATATATATATATATATATATATATATATATATGCACAAGCACACACACACACATATATATATATATGTATATATATATGATTTTAACTATTTTATATCTACTTATATTAAGATGATGCGGCAAAATTATACACATATATATATATATATATGTGTGTTTGTATGTATGTATTTCCAATTTTGCCTCATCTTCGTATAAGTATATATAAAATCCATTTTTTTCCAACTCTGTCTTTAAGATAAGTTCGTTTTTTCTCCTTCGTGTATCTAATGTATCAACTTCCGTTTGTTTCTGATTCCAAAATAAATTCATCTTCTGCAGAGTGACTTCTGTCTACCTGTTGTTGTTGCAAATGTTGTCTACTACGCTTAGCTAAGTTTAGTGCAAGACCATGATTATGAGACTCCGAGTGGAAAGCAAACTGACTACAAAACCGTAATAGTCAACCAGAAGAGCTTGCTAACCATTATCCAATTCTGGGACATTCCTTCTCCCTGTTGACTGTTGAGATGTTACGTTCGGTTGGTTGATTTTAAATGACTGCTGAATAATTATGTTAAATTATTTCTCCTATGTAACGGTGAGTGCGAGACGCAAACAGACGAAGAAAAGACTTGAATCAACAGAGATGTTCTACTGAAATATGCTGATGGTAGAGTAATGGATAGCGGCTCGGATTGAGGAATCAGAGAGCCGAGTTCGAACTCCAGTCGAATCCATTACATTCACTTAGGTGCTAATACCCTTGGGAAAGGTATTAATCCTCTTCTTCTTCCCCCAGCTATGGGTAAATAGCAGGACAGACCGGGTTCTATAGCCTTGGATGGAAATTGGTCAACCGCAGAAAGACGTAACCTACTGCGGGAAAAATCTGCCTTGTCAGTCGTGTATCGAAAGATACATGATCAACTAAGCGTGTATCATGCATGGCACATAACTGATTGACCATGGACGTAACGTATGAGCAATGAAGAAGTTTTTAAAATTCATTAAATTTATAAAAATAGAAAGGGGCCTACTACCGTGACAGTGAGATAATCTCGTGAGAATTAGAAGTTCTACCAGAATTCATTATTGGGGTCCACAACCTTAACATGAGATATGCAGACGACACACTGTTGCTATAAGGCACAGAAAAAGAACTACGGGAATTCCGACAGACGGTATTAACAGAAAATGGGAAGAAAGGTTTAACAATCAGCGGTACGAATATATGTATGGTCGTCAGCAAGAGGAACAGCCCAAGATTCAAACTATGAATTGGAAGTAATAAAAGAAAGTGTGAAGAAAGGACAAACTATCAATTGTAAGAAGACAGTGTGTGTGTGGTTGTCAGTAAAGGGAACAACCCAAGATGCAAACTAAGATTTGAAGGTTGTAAAAGAAAATGTGAAGAAAGGACTAACTATCATTTGTAAGAAGGCAATGAGCGTCGTTGTCAGTAAAGGGAACAACCCAAGACGCCAACTATGATTTAGAGAGGGCCTTGATCACTAGATCATCCACAGTAAATTTGCACTTAGGCTTTTACAACATTCCACCATTCCTGTCAGTTCTTCTATTATCACAGTGTGGGATATCTAATAATAAAAGTGATGGAAACAAAAAGTATCTAAATGAAATCGGCAAGATTATTGTATCCCCAAAACACATAAAAAAATGAAAAATTCCCAGCATGTCTCGGCCGTGTACATGTTTGGTCGTACCAATGTAAACAAATTTAGTCCGATGAAATCCTAAAGGCCGAAGCGTTTCACACGAAAACTTTTTTTTGCCACGTTATCATACATCATTCCCCCAATATATATATATATATATATATATATATATATATATATATATATATATATATATATATATATATAAAAATATGGTAAAACACTAATATTCCATGGTCAAATTTATTCCATTGGAATCGTAAATACGATCAAATTCATCAGACCTACAGCCAATGGAATAAATTATTCCAATGGAATATTAGTGTTTAAGCCTTTTATTATATCCTTTACTGTCCTAGACATTGAGTTCTACATGGATTCTATCCTCTTGGATTTATTTTTTTTATACAAATATATATGTATGTGTGTATGCATGTATGTATATATATTTATATATTTTGCATATGTATGTGTATATTTACCACTAATATTATCAATATCTATATCTATATCTATCTATCTCACTATCTATCTATCTATCTATCTATCTATCTCTCTCTCTCTCTCTATATATATATATATATATATATATATATATATATAGAGAGAGAGAGAGAGAGAGAGAGAGAGAGATATCATTATCCATCATGAATCAATGTATAATGGATTAATCCGTTACTGGATCCCAGGTGATTGCTGATGTAAACTTTTGCAACAATACTTTGTCCATCCACAAAACCAATGAAAATCATTAAATCAAGCACGATACTGAACATAAAATATAGACGGGATTTAATTTAACGGTACCAGTACGGCGGGGAGTTTGGGGGCGAAAATGGAAGCTGGTGAGGAAGGGGAGGGATGTTATTTGTTCGGAAGGGGAGTATCCTTTCATAAAAACATCAAGTCATTGTCTCCCTGGAGTTTCCTTACTCGACTGTTTGAGACTCTTTGAGTCTCACTAAAGTTCCGTCTAATGAGATTTGTTTTTGTCTACGTATTCTTTTTAAAACGTTTCTAATACGAGTCATGGCATTGAAATTGTTTATCCTGGGGCTTGCTACTGCTTTATCAGGGGCCAGATCGTTCCACGAAACATTTGAACCTCGCCCCATTTTACACAAATTTCGCAGGCTTATTTCGTTCTTCACTCGGAGTATTTTTTTTCAGGAAATTCATTCGTGAACCGTCCACCTATCTTTATTTTTACACACTCTCTGTCTCTGTCTCTCTATGTTTGTCTCAATCTCTCTCTCTCTCTTTGTCTCTGTCTCTCTCTCTTTCTCTCTCTCTCTCTGTCTCTGTGTGTGTGTGTCTCTCTCTCTCTGTCTCTCTATCTCTGTCTCAATCTCTCTCTCTCTGTCTATCTCTGTCTCAATCTCTCTCTCTGTCTCTTTATCTATGTCTCAATCTCTCTCTGTCTCTCTCTATGTGTCTCTCTCTGTCTCAATCTCTCTCTGTCTCTCTCTCTCTCTCTGTCTCTCTATCTCTGTCTCAATCTCTCTGTCTCTCTCTGTCTCTGTCTCTCTCTCTGTCTCTCTCTGTCTCTCTCTCAGTCTCTCTCTGTCTCTCTCTCTCTGTGTCTCTCTATCTCTGTCTCAATCTCTCTCTGTCTATCTCTGTCTCTCTATCTCTGTCTCAATCTCAATCTGTGTCTCTCTTTCTGTCTCTCCCTCTGTCTCTCTCTCTGTGTCTCTGTCTCTCTGTCCCTCTCTCTCTCTGTCTCTCTCTCTCTCTCTCTTGCTTACTGCAGACATGTCTTTTCAGTTTTCATCTTGTTTTCGGACCGGTTTCTTCCGCTCCCACCCCTGCGATGAAATCGATTGCTATCTTTCAAATACTGATACCAATATTTGTTGAACCCCCGAAAAGATCGCGTCTGATAAATTTTGATAGCCATTTCCTTACAAGGAGACATTCGGCATTCATTCATACTTTCGGCTGAAATTCATAAACCTTAAAACAATTTTTCAGGGAAATATTTTTCTCAAGTCCAGTAGCTGTTATAGCTCTTTCCAGTATTGAGTTGCAGAGGGAGGGGTCTTACTCAACCTCCTATTTGAGGTAGTTTGAGATTATTTATTTTCTCTTCGAGTTACATGTACTATACTTGTTAGTTGCTGCCGCTGTTGAAAGTCTTCAAGTGATGTAGTTTGTGTTATTTAGTATATTTCGTTGTGATTCCGTATCCCCACTCTACAAGGTTCGCCAAGAACCACAGGTATCGCTCACTCAAAGAAAGAGTTTGCATACAACTGACAGTTTAGATATTTCTGAATGGGTTTAGCGCCATGCATGGCATCCATATGCCCATCTTGATCTGATGTGGCTATTTAAGAACATGAATCGAGTTTTCTGGTTAATGCTTTGGTTCTTTTAGCAAAGTGCAGTGTTGGGCGAAATTACCCGCAGCATTCTATGTTCAATTTCCTTATCTTCTTAACTGAATTTGTTATAAATTATTTATATACCGATGTATTTGTATATCGACGCCCCATTTAGTCTTTGTGAATTGCACGCTTAATTTCATAATAAAAATAACGTTTCTTAAAATGTTGTTCTGTTTCGTTTTGACTTGTTCACTCACACACTCTCTCCTACATAGCCAAATGCATAAACAATGATTAAGTGCAATGTTTCTTAAAATTTGTAAAATTTTAATGAACATAACGTTTTCATTATTTTAAACCATTGGCGATTTTCACTAAGGAAGGTCATACGTGTAAACATCTTCTGTTTTGAAACAGTAAACAATCATATTGTTTTCCTCTGGAGTAGAAATGTTCTTTTTGATTTTAAAACGAATAAATTAGAAATAAATCACACTCGACGACATTTGTTAATCACACTGTCATCAGTGATATTATGGCACCAAGTCTTTTCGTTTTTTAATTAAAGGAAAATATTGTTCTCCCAACCCAAATCAAAGTGGCCCAAATGCCTTCCTGAATTCAGGAAGACATTTGGGCCACGAGCACACAACAAAGAGAATGTCTCATATCGAGAATATTTAACATCGAAAAACATAAGAAAAAAATTAATTATCTTTAATGATATGTGGAAATCACCACGCTTTGCCTGATGAAGGTTGCGAGACCGGAAAACCGTGTAGGAAAATTATGGAAAATAAAGCATAATATTTTTTTAAAAAATCCACATTACAACCGAAAACGTTTGTGGTTTCTCTCTTCTTATTAATATACACACTTTTCTCTCGTTGGAACAACTATAGCATCTTCCTTATATATATATATATATATATATATATATATATATATATATATATATATATATATATATATATCGCTCGTTCCTCATATTTCTAGTTCTTTCTATACTTCTTTATCTTTCTTCTTACCTATCTCACTTCCTCCCTCGTCTCCCCCCGTTTAACTTTCTCTGCGTCTCTTTCTGTCTCTCCTTCTCGCTCTTGATTTTTACCTCCCTCTTTATAGATTTCGCTTTCTCGTTCTTCTTCTCTCTGTATCTTTCCCTGTTTTTATATTCCTTCCTTCCTTCCTTCCTTCCTTCCTTCCTTCCTTCCTTCCCATCTATCTATCTATCTATCTATCTATATTATTCCCTTTCTCTCTATCTCTTTCTCTATCTCTCTTTCTACTTTTCTCTCTCTCTCTTTACTTACTCTCACCCTATTTATTTCTACTTTTCTCTTTCTTTATCTTTTTCTACTTTGCTTTTCTATATAGACTTTCCTTCAATTTTTTCTCTCTTTAGCTATATCTTTCTTTAAGACTTACTCTGTCTCATCCTCAGTCAATTGTGTGTCATGCGTGATATACGCTGAGGCGATCTTTCGATACATGACTAACGAGGAAGATTTTTTTCCCAGCAGTAGGCTCCCATTTCTTTCTGCGGTAGACCAATTTCCATCCTAGGCTATAGAACCCGGTCTGTCCTGCTATTTACCCATAGCTGGTGGGGAGAAGAAGATGATTCATACTTTTCTCAAGGGTATTAGCACATAAGTGAATGTAATGGATTCGACTGGAATTCGAACTCGGCTCCTCATTCCCTGCCGCTATCCATAACTCCACCTTCCTACTTTTCTCTTACTCTCCTTTTCTTTTACTCTCCTTTTCTCTATTTCTATCCCTCTCTGTATATATCTACCTCACGCTCCCCCCTATTTATTCCGTAGTTATTTTTCTGCATATATTTTACGTACGCTTAATAACGAAAAAGTTATCTCGCGCAAAAATGAAATAATCCTTTAACCTATCAAAGGAAAAACTTTAAAAAAAAAAAAAGACTTAGGAAAACGAGAAATGATAAAATAAAATTAAGCAGAAAACCTTATCTTTCTTTTGAATATTATTTTTCACTTTATCTTCACTGGCAAACAACCAAGAATGCTGTTTCCTTTTCACCGTGTTTGCTTTTTAGAAAAACCAATTAAATATATAACAACACCTGCTTATCAAAGTCTCATAATCTTAGGCATTTCAAAATATCGACGAAGAAAAGAACCATCCTTTATTTCGTATTTTTGCAATATTTATAATGACAACTGTATTCATATTTCCTATTTTACACTTTTCTTCCCTATTTTATTTTTCTTCCACCAAAGCGGTACTATAGATCAGGATATGTTTACAGGTTCTATTGTATTATAAATAATCAATGTGAAAGCGTGTTTCGTCTTTCTTTTCAACGTCTGTACTCGCGGGAAACGCCATTTTTAGTTATTAACGCCCAACCAATCGAATTCTTTTTTTTTTTCGTTGGCATCCAAATACATTTTCATAAGAGACTATATAATTTGCCCAACCGTTCTTTTCACTCATATTTTCGTTTATTCCGCCAGGAATTGCATGAAAACTCGCCGTAGTATTATTAATTTGTAATTAAGTTTTACTCTAACTTATTATTATTAACGTTCCTAACATTAAACGTTTTCAATATTATTATTTTATTACCACTTTTACTTCATTTTTTGTTAATTTTTAGGTGATGCCTTTTAAGTATAACTAGCAGTATGGCCCAGCGTTGCCCGTACTTGATTCAAAAATCGTAAATCACTTGACTTAAAATCGCTATCACTTGACTTAAAATATTTTTGCCCTTCCTTGCCTTTAAAGGAGTGCCCTTTGCCGTGCTGATGTTGCTACATGCCCTTACTTCTTGCCTATCTCACACTGCGAATTTTTTCTAACACAGTCGGTCTGTGGTTTGCTTAATCAGATATTTTCCCGCATTAGTGGTTTGTTTATGTATCCCCGATAACACCAGCCCGTCGCCAGAACACACCCGATTCTTTATCCACTCAGAATTTCCCTACCATTGTAATGACACTCTTCGCCATTTGTTACTTATCAAAATATCCTTTATCCATAGCCGTGGGTGTCCTACTTATCATCCACGCTTTGGGTCTCGCCCCTCTTTTCCTTTCTTTCCTTCCTCTCTTTCTTATTTTGCCTTCGTAAATGGTGCCACAATAATATTAAAAATGCTATACTGTTATGAATCTTCTTTTTCATATTGAATAGGCTTTGATTATTAGGCTATGGAACCATTCTATTCACTGCAAAATTCTATGACACCATTTCATTAGCACTTCTATGTTCTATTTACAGGTATAAAAATAGCGTCTTCCACTGAAAGAACGCTCAAACTATATGTTAGGAGACACAAACACACATTCAAACACATACACACACATATATATTATATCCTATAACAGGTGGTTAAAAATTAAAAGAAAATGGTTAAAATTCAGAACCACCAGTTACGTAAAAATTATATACTACATAAATTTAAAGTTTGTCTATATTTCTGAGATGAGGTATTATGTACAGTATTTACATTAGTCGGACTATTGTCCTCATCTTTGTCGCCATATTTGTCACAACGTTTCGGCCGTTGTACGCTCCGGCCTTCTTCAGGTGGTTGGAATTTCGAACTGAACCCTTTATTTCGATCGCTGGGGTAGACTGTTCTAATTCCACGTGCCATGTTTGATGGATGTCAGTTATCAGTTATCTCCTGCTAATTTTTCCCTCTGAAAGTTCTCCACTGCCTTAACCAGGAATTGAACTCACCTTCTTTGGGTCTGTCACTGGATCTAACCAACGCCTTTATCCACTGTGCCATGTCTCCACTGCCTTAACCACTGTGCCATGTGTCAAGGACACATGGCACAGTGGATAAAGGCGTTGGTTAGATCCAGTGACAGACCCAAAGAAGGTGAGTTCAATTCCTGGTTAAGGCAGTGGAGAACTTTCAGAGGGAAAAATTAGCAGGAGATAACTGATAACTGACATCCATCAAACATGGCACGTGGAATTAGAACAGTCTACCCCAGTGATCGAAATAAAGGGTTCAGTTCGAAATTCCAACCACCTGAAGAAGGCCGGAGCGTACAACGGCCGAAACGTTGTGACAAATATGGCGACAAAGATGAGGACAATAGTCCGACTAATGTAAATACTGTACATAAATTTAACCCATACTAAAATATAAATTGCATAAAACAAATTCAGCATCATTTACACACTTTCGTTTATTTGACATTAATATTACGTCACTTAGCATCCGCCATGATTTACCTAAATTGCACCAATAATGTTTCTCTATTCAACATTATATTATATCTTGCCAATTTTCGAATGGGGTGTTGAATGTCGAGAGGGAATTTATGAAAAATTGTCCAAAGTTCATTCTTTTCTTCACTATTCACGTACGTTCGAATACTACAGTCATTGTCAAGAACTGGGTATTGTCAGTATAGTCAGCAAGATTTTCTTACTAAATTATGGCATTTTTAGAATTTGAAAAGGTATCACTTCAAAGTTCAAAATGACGTCATACGGAACGATTCAACAGAAAAGCATGTATGAATATCTATCTCTCTCTCTCTCTATATATATATATATATATATATATATATATATATATATATATATATATATGCTGGAAACACGCCTGAATCAAAGGTATTAAGGTAAATTTATTGCCGGAATAATCTCTATCTTAAAATTACAAAAAAATCTCGTACTAAAATATTCGTTCATTCATCATTACTTTCGTAAAAACTCTTCTAGTGGATAAGACACAAGGACTTATTCTTAAATACTTATATACAAAGAGAATATATATATATATATATATATATATATATATATATATATATATATATATATATAAGCAAATATATGGATATTCATAAAACATAATTAACATTAGACTATATTTAATTCAACATGAAAAGACGATGGACATAAGAGTAAGACTAATCAAAACAGACAAATGAAATTTTTCAAGATCAGCGTTCCGTTTCAATATGATCACGTCATATTAGGACTTTTGTTTGTTTTTTTTCCGTATATTTTTCTTCATATATATATATATATATATATATATATGTGTGTGTGTGTGTGTGTGTGTGTGTGTGTGTGTTTCCTCACACCGAAACAAGGATAAAAGTCCATATAAACTTGTCTGGAAATCCTGCGTTTTTTTTTTACGTTTAAAGAAAAGTTTACGGTAGGTGTCGCAATCTGCCACGTAGACTAGGTTACATTTATTATTCGTGAACATTTGTGGCTAGTCTGCTCTTATACTAAAACAAGAAAAAAGTTCATATAAACATATGTCCAGAAATCCTCCGTCTTTGAGTTATTAAGTTTAAAAAAGGTTTATTGTAGATGGCGTTGCGTTGCCATGTAGACTAGGTTACATTTGCCATTCTTGTTAATTTGTGGCTAGTCTGTCTTCAACGTTTAACATATGTTGTAGTGAGTTAACTGAGAGGTGTTCCATTTAACAATGGCAGGATATTTATATCGTGAACAGACAGATATGATTTTACATATGTCTGCGAATGGTAATGTACGCGAGGCTGCACGGCTGTATCAGATTACGTTTCCAGACTGAAGGCAACCGAGTCATCCAGCCTTTGCTGGTGTTTATCGTCGCGTTGCTGAGACAGGATCAGTGGCACTACAAGCTATGGATCGAGGAAGGCCGAGATCCGCTTGTACGCCTGAGCACGTTGAACAGATACTACTGTCGCGGATGTTCCTGGTATCAGCACACGTTAAGTAGCCTTAACATGTTGCACATCTCATACTACCGCAGGTCCTGTATCCGTATTATTTCCAACGTGTGCAGCGTCTTTCGCCCTCTAATCACTCAGCACGGGAGAACTTTTGCCGAGGTTTATGACACACAACGGCGATCAATTGTTTGCCTCTTAAGTCTTGTTTACGGATGAGGAAACATTTGGAAGTGATGGAATAATAGATTTACACAAGCAACATTTGTGGTCGGATCGGAATCCACATAGTATAATACAGACCTTGAATTGTAGATAACTTTCTGGTACCTCCATATGGTCTCCCAGCACGACTTACAGGTGCTGTCTACAGGGACTTTATTTCAAACACACTTCCAGACCTGCTAGAAGATGTACTTCTGCTAATACATACACCCATGTGGTTCATAAATTTGGGTCTCCAGCTCATTTTAGTTACATTGTTCGCGATGCTCTGCTCAGCATCTATCATGAAAGATAGTGGAGGACAGGTTCTATGGTCTGCTCATTTCCCCGACATTGGCTTATTTTTTTTATCTCTGGGGCCATCTGAAACAATTGATATATTCAGCAGACATTAATAATATAGAGACGCTTCATCAACATGTCATGGGGGCCTGCGAGACCATTCAATACCATGTAGGAGTATTTGAAAAATTTGCCAGTCAATGATTCGGCAGGTGCATTCGTGTGTAGAA